CTAGCAAGGGAAGTGGGAGTAATCTTCAAATGGGTAAGGAGATCAGCCAATTCTGTGGCTGACAATTTGGCAAAGCAGGGGACTCTCAGGGAAAACTTGTTTTGGGCTGTATTGTAAGACTTGAGATTTGTATGGGATCAACACTCATGCTCTGAGTGGTTAACATTCTTGTATTTAACTGTTATTTTAATGAAAGTTGTCGTTTCCAATCAAAAAAAAAAAAAGTGTTATATATAATCACCACCCATCCCCTAACCTCTCTCAGTCCATACTACATTAATCTTGTTCCACCCTACCATTCCTTACTACTTCAACCCATGCCCTTTCTAGTTTCTACAAACTATTAAAGCTGCATTGTTAGTCTAGCAGTTGCTACCAAACCCCATGACATATCTTACAAGTGATAGTTAAGTTGTGATCCCCAAAATACAATTGTTCCTATTAACTCCTTGTCTTGCTAGTGAGTCAGCAACTGTTTTTGATGCTCTGTGAGTCCAAACCCATTTCACTCCTGTCTCCCTTATGGGCTGCCTAGTTCATTTCACAGTGTGCTGATGCTCTTGTGTTCTGTGTTCCTTTAGAATCATTTATAAGTTATCTCACTATTGTTTTAGAGTTACCCTATGCCACTATTTTGTGCAAATGCAGCCTTTTAGCTATTACAGTGGTGTGTAATTTCAAGTGGGAAATTATCAGGAAATCAAGTTCTGGAGGGATTGTTGGTCTGAAGAAAGACCTCTAAAGGATTTTTGATAAAAAAACAACAACCTTTAAAGGATCTTTTCCCTGCTCTGTTTGAAGTGGCATCTAATAAGGAGGCATGTGTAGCTGAACGCTACCAATTTACCAAGTGCAAAATGGCATGATAGCATGGAACCCCATATATAGGAGAAACCTAAATGATTGAGAGGTGGCCCCAATGGTAGAGTTTAGAAACTCTACGACATACAGGTGGTAGTCAATAGAGAAGATAAGAGAATTTGATCCTGGGAAAATTGTAGCCAGTTCTCTGTGAGATCCTTCTACAATGGATTAACCAGGTAGGTGGGGTGTGAGTTTCCCAGTAACAGAATATGGTGTGCAGCTGTGCCATGCTTTTTTTGTCTGATCAGCCACTCTGGACAGAATCTTGACTAGAGAAAATCTCATCCAAAAAGGAATGCAGATACTCAACACAAATTGTGCTCTATGGCTCTATGCAATGAATGTCTAGAGGCAGTCAGCCACTTACTGTTACATTGCAAGTCATCTTAAGAGTATTGGGTCAAAAATGATAGGACTTTTTGTGTCAGGAGTTGCTTCCTTGCCTCAATTGCAGATTTTGTAAGATGGTTGTAATTGAGAGGGCTGTGTAAGAAAGGTAAAGTAGCAAAGGGAGTGTTACCTGCAGCAGTTTTTTTTTTTTTTTTTGTGTGTGTTTATGAAAATAATGAAACACTAGGATTTTTCAAAATAAGTTCAGTGTGAAGAAGCGATAATAGTCAGAATTATGTGGAAAATGTTTCTTGGTTTGCAAGTCACAGGGGGAAAGAAAACAAATACTTTTTTTTTTTAATTTTGATAATCTTTTTTGTAAACAACCATGATCTGATCTTTTGAATGTAGTGAACAGCTTTGTATATTCCCTGTGTACAGAAACCTGTTGTACAGGTGTTTATGGTTTTTTGATTATTAATACAATTCATTACTTTACCTTTCTCAAAAGGGGGGAAAAAGAAATAAAGTTTCTTTGTTCTACATAGGTGGGAACCATTCTGTTAACCTATTTATCCTTGTAGTTGTGGAGTTTGCCATGTAATGTCTTTCTCTAATTTTGTCATCTCTGGAAAAAGAAGAAAATATCTCCAATATCTTCACCCAATTCACTATTTTGATCAATTTATTTTCAGGTCTTTTTTAAGTTGCTTGTTTTTTGCTGTTTTGGTTTTTGTGGGTGAGAGCTGGTGGCACTCGCATTGCTAGTTGCTTGGGTGGGTGCAATGCTTTGGAGTGTGCCTGTTTTCTTGTCTGCAGTTCATGTACTCCTTGTACACTTCTATTAATAAAGTTTTACCTTACCATTTTCAAAAAAAAAAAAGAATGGCATCCTCTTTGGGCTTCCTCCTTGGACATCTTCCTTGATTTTTTTTTTTTTCATCCATATTATGCTAAAACTTTTTTCCCATGTTTATCGCCTTCTACTGTAATCAATTCAGTTAAAAATGGACTCATGATTATGCCATTCTTGACAGGAGAGGTTGGTGATGTTTAACTGTTTGAATTTTCCGATGGCTGATATTACTTTTTCTCCTCAAAAGTACTACACTTTCATTTTTCTTCCATGTGATATCTAAGGATAAGTATGCTTTTGATGTGCTTAAATTAGAACTGCAATTTATTTTCTTATATAAAATATTATTTTGATCTTTTATCATGGACTTCAACCTAAGTTTGGGCATGACAAGGTTCCATGTAATTGGAGTTACTCTCTCTCAATCTGCATTGATACATCCAGTGACAATTGGATGCAATACATTAAAAATGCTAGAAATTCAGTATCTAGAAACATATCAAACTGATAACTGAAAAGATGGCAATTGGCTGTGGGCTAGTTCAAATTGTATAGACACCATAACATGGATCCAGGTGTCTATATGAGATAATGAATTTGTTTACAGCTTCTATAAGAGACTTTAGCTCAATTGGTAGAGTACTTGGGAAATAGAGCATAGCTCTCTATTCTCAAGAGGATGGTAGTTCAAATCTACCAAGTCTCTCCCATTTTCATTTATGTGATGTGGGTGGGGTTGAATACATACTACGTAAGTATACAAGGGCCTCATCTGGGATGGCTTATGTATTCCTTTATGAATTTTGTGGAATTATGATTAAGAAGGTGTTCTTTTAGAAAGCAAATGGTCCAATTTTCAAAATTGCAACCAAAATGTAGGAAAATTGGAGCGGGGGCAGATTGTTTTCTGACTTAGTCCAATCCATTTCCCACGATCATTAGTAAGTTATCCATTTCCATTAATTTTCTGTGCAACCAAACAAAACTTAAACATTTTTTGGCTGATACACCAATTAGAAAATAAATAACTCCAAGTTGAACACTGTAATTGAGAATTGTTTAGATTTTAAGCATGTATACTTGCTCTACATACATAATCACCAACAACAAAAAATAAAACAAAGAACTGTCACCACTTACAACTCTAATAATTTGGATAAGCTTCATGATGATAATGGGTACTTGTGTCACCAACTATATTACTACCGAAACAAGAAAGGTCATCCAACTATTAAATAAAAGATTAGTGCAATGCAGACCTAAAAGTTTTTTTTTGGTTGTTGTACTTACAGGTGCATCATGGACCACACTTGTGGAACAATTAGTCAGTTCAGGTGGGTACCCATCTGTCAACCCTCATTGATCATATACAGTTAAGACTGTTCATAATATTAATCGTTTTGTGCCATCTATCCTCAAAATCAAAACATGTGAGGCATTGGATTTATGTGAGCCTCTACTCTTTTCCGAGAAACCAGAGGACTCTCCCTTGAAAACATGGAGAAATCAGCCCCCACAAGATTGCCCCCCACAGCACATCCCCGCTGTGTATTGGGAACATCTCCCGATGTGCTGTGGGACATTGTGGGGGCAATCTTGTGAAGGGCTGATTTGATCTTGAAAATATGCTCTACGTAGCAAATACCTACCAGCTACCACTGAATCCATATCCATAACTCCCAACAAACAGTACCTGAAAAAGGGGAAGAGAGTCCTTATTTGTCGAACCTTCAACGTTCTTAATGATGCTAAAATCTGAAGAGTCCAACTGAATCCAATCCATATCCTAAATCTAACATTCTCAACGAAATGCCAGGCTTCGTTGTCGAGACAACCAAGGAAACAGTCGTTGCCCAAATTAACTTCACTTGCACTACTAATCAGGTAGTAGTTTTGGAACGAACGGCCTCTCAATTGCGAAGACGACACACTCTTAAGCGGATTTGCTATTTGAAAAATAAATGTTTATTCTACGAGCGTTTGGTGAAAAAACATTTATTTCAAATAGGGAGGCATACCCTTTTCAAAATGATGTGGCAGGCCAAGACAGGCTATTAAAAAAATATTGATTATTGAATGAGCACCTAAAAATAAGCCCAAATTTTGGGTTTCTGACATAAGCACTTATTCTAAGGGGTTTATTTCCCCAGACGCCAATTATTAACTATTGGTGTGGTCTCGACCCAAATTTTCGAATAAGCATTCTCAAATTTAGGGCTACAAATGGATTGGATTAGATTTATCCAATTTAATCCGATAAGAATCTGTCGTGTTTTTAAGAGAATGATTCGAATTAGAATATGGGATTTAATTAGAATTATAATAAAAATATTTATGGTATAATTTAAATAATATAATATATTATTTATATAATATAATAATATATAAAACATAATATATAATATAAAATGATATAAATAATATATATATATATATATATAGAATATACATATATAATATAAAATTAATACATAAGATATAATATTTCATAATTAACACATCAGATAGACCTACTTTTTTGATCTGGTCTGATTTGTAAGGATCAAAGGAGGCATCCAAATCGGGCTCTTTACAGCCCTACCCAAACTACGATCAGGTAGGCACAAAGTCATAAGCACATCCAATGAGCACTTAAATTTTTTTTTTTACACCTGTCCCTTAATATGCCCCGACCCATTCTTGAAAAAGATTAAAAACCATTTTGACACTTTGTCAAAATATTCCTCAGGACAAAGAATAGCCTAAATTAGTTGCTTCTCCTCCAAGCTCTTTTAGGCCAGCAGCACCCAGTAGCCTCAATCTACGGGCAGATTCAGTCCACTCTTAGAAATCTTAGCTCCACCCTCTGGGTGGATTGAATTATAAAAGGTCGCAAATTTCTTGGATCCAGGCCTTGCATCGTCGGCGTCACAGTATCAGCACTAAGATGCAGTATAGACTATACTGTTGATCAATGTCGATATTCTACATATTAATTCAATTTTTTTTTGTAGTTCACCATACCGCCGATGCAGGCCGAGATGGAAGATAGATGCCAGAGGATCATGCAAGAGCAGATACCCGACCCAACCTACGGTTCAATGGCTTGTAGGCACCCTTACTACCCTTCAAGCCCCACAACTGTATTTAATAGAAGCAGAATATCGATTTGTTCTGCTTCCTCAGGATGCTGGATCCAATGTCAAATTCCAACTTGATCGAATGAAGCTAAAGATGGAAGACCACCATAGTAGAGGCCGATCCACCAGACAAGGAACGGTGTCACAGTCCATTATCCTTCATCACGTCTTCTGTAAATTTGGTTAATGCTCTCAGATCTCTCCTATATAACTAATTGACTGAATGTCTTACTAGCTCTAATCCAATCCGGTATGGGCTTTCATCATTCAAGGATAGAAGTGATGGGCAGATGAAGAGTCAGAGGTTTTTTTTATTTAATTTTCTGTACTGGTCTGGGCTTTCATTGTGATAAATTCCATTCTGTAATTCTTTGGCTGCAATTCTACAAATTTGTTTATTGACGAGGAAATGAAAGTACAGATGAACAAGAATTACGCTTAGGAATTACACAGAGATTGGAACCTATGCCATTAGTACATAAAAATCTGTAAACTTGAATTTAGACTAGAAGAGAAAAAGAAACCAAATACTGATGCTTGGAGAAAGGTCTCTGCCTCAGTTGGTTTGGACTATCCTTCCCTGAGTTCCCTCGTTTTCAATCTCAACTACTGAAAAAATAAACAAACAAAAAAATGAAAAGTCAAGATGAAAACTGGTAAAGATTATAATACCAATTGCAAGAAGGTTCTACCATAAAGAAAAAAAAAATTGCAAGAGGGTTGGTCATTAAAAAATTTAGAGTCGTTCCAACTAGAAGTGATCTCCTACTAGAAAGTTTAAAAATGTGAAATGCAGATAAAAGGTCAAGATGGGTGGCTCAGTTGATCTCCTAATAGAAGTTTTGATCCAGTTGGACGATAATTAGAACTTGGGTTGCTCCCCAATATATAAATTGCTGCTTATAAGTGGAAAATATTTTCAGGCCATGATCAGAGCCTGTTTAAGCAAACAGAAGCCAGGGTGGGTTGCGTTAAAACTTAATCGGAAGCAGGAAAAGGTACCTTCATGAGCATTGGTGGAGACTGGAATGCCTGTGGCGGTGGATAAGTCGGTTGTGGAGGGCACAGATGATAATGATGGCGATTCCTCAACATTTAGCAAAGAAGAAACAGCCTCTCTCACCTTTTCTACGACTCCCATTTCACCAGGCACTTTCCTCGGACTCATCGCCTCGGATATCATTTGGGAAAGCGCTCTCTCCTCTTCCCCGGGCTCCAGTTTCTGCATTAAAAATTCTTTCACCGAAACACCTTTATCCCATTTCTGCTCACTGCTACTGATAGCAATACTCTGTGGTCCAGTCTCAGAGGCTGAGGTTGGTGAGCCATGAATCTTTGAAGCGATTATGTTGGTGGCCTGGGTAACAGCAGCGTATGCGGGTGCAAGCGTCTCCGACACAGTTTCGGTTACCTTGGCATAGGCCGGTGCAAGCTTCTCTGTTACTGTTTCGGTAATAGTTTTGCTATCGGCAGCAACAGGATTGGTATAGGCGGCAACAGGTTCGCTATTGGCGGCAACAGGTTTTCTATCGGCAGCAACAGGATTGCTATAGGCGGCAACAGGTTCGCTATAGGCGGCAACAGGTTTGCTATCGGCAGCAACAGGTTTGCTATCGGCGGCAACAAGTTTGCTATCGGCAGCAACAATTTTTCTTTCGGCGGAAACAGGTTTGCTATCGGCGGCAATAATTTTTCTATCGGCGGCAATAGGTTTGCTATCGGCGGTAATCGCTTTGCTATAGGCAACCGGTTTGCTTTCCGTCTTTTGATTGTCTTGGTCGCTACGGTGAACGGCACTCGTCACCAAAATATGCTTGTCGGAAATCACAGGGTTCGCTCGTGGATGCTGTCTTGCATTCTCTTTGCAGGCTTCGGGTGCCATCTCTGATTCATACACTGAGAAAGGGAATAGAGGGTAAGTGAATGACAAACTCATAAGTAACGGCTTTAACCATCAACGTAGAATTTAAAGGGAAAAAAAAAAGAAAGAAAGAAAGAAAGGGAAAATATTTATATATAATTTACTGGGGGCTCCAAAGTATTCGGGATCTTCATCTTCTTCCTCGTCTTCGTCCAAACTGACACCCCAAGAGGGAGTGGCATTCTCGTCTTGATTGTTCTTCTTCTTGTTGGCAAGAGTTTGTCTCCATTTCTTAGCCTTCTCTCTCACCTTGGCCAGAACAGATTTCTTAGAGTGGTGAATGTGATCCTCGTCTTGATCGTAATGCTTCGATATCGACGATAGGGTGGGTGATGATGCCCCCCACTTCGACTCATCGTCTATTGTAAACAAAACCGAACCGAAGGAGAGAAAAACAGAAATTAAAAGGCATATTCAAATGATCAATTAATTTCTATATACAGTTTCATTCATGCAGAGAGAGTTTAAGAAATGCAGAGAATGCATGCAATTGAATGTTACCATGGAGAAGCTGCTCTACGGTGGGTGTGATAGGAGTCTCGATGGGTCTTCGTATTCTCTCCATTTGAGCCATGTTTGCTAAGAAATCACGGTTTCTCTCCTTCTCCCGAGTCCCGATTGACTCTTATCTTTATCTCCCTCTCTCAGACACTCGGAAGAATTTAAGGAGTTAGAAAGTGAGAGGATCGTCCTCAAGGCTCCAACTGCAAACTGTTATAGGCGAATGCTTCAGGAGACCGATGCTTCCGCCGTTATTTTCCTGTCTTTTTTTGGCATGCAACAATCTGAGAAAGCCACGTGTTAATTATTATACATCACCCAAAGCTTTTGTATCTTACCCTTATTGCCACGTGGCATCCTTTTAGATGATAACTCCAAACATAACCGTCGACCAGGTCCCTACTCTGGATTCCCGACCAACCATCTTCCTCCTCCGTAGCCTGCGGCTTCGCTCAATGCCAATCCACTCCGCGAGAGGAGGAGACTTAGAATCAGAGACAGAGATCGATGTCTCTTCTTGTTTCCGTTTCTTTTGGTTTTTTTTTCTTTGAAATTTGAAAGCGAAGATTCCTTACCCACTGTTTTTTTTTTTTTTTTGCCAGATCAGATTTTCGTTTCAGACTCAGATTGACATATCATGCATCAAAACTAATTTGTGGACTCCTGTATGTTGGACGGTGATTGCGTTGCGAGTTGCGACACCCTTTTGCCCGTAAACACGTGTCACGAATTCACTGGATATGAACCGGAAATGGAAAAAATAAGAAACCGAAATCAACTCTGAAGTCTGAACCAGCAACAGATACGGTCTCAGTATCTGGTTCAAACTTCGAACTCCAAACCATGCACTCGGATATAATAACTTGGTTCCGATCCAATGGCTTGGGGCGATCGTATCACATGTATATGGTTGATCATCATACACTTTGAGTTGAGGCTCTCTAAGCTGTAACGTGTTGGTACATAGTGTACACATGTGGCACAACTAGATGGAATGGGACCCGCATTATCATTTATCAGTGCGTTATGCTCGTTCAACCACAAATAAAAGAGCATAGGAGATAAGGTGGGTGGTTAGATAAGAAAGCAATGGTTCCAGTCGATTGTGGAAACAGAAAAATATGGCTACAATTTTACCGTCGTCTCTCCTCCCAACGAGAGCCCTGAGTGCTGCTCTCCCAACCCATCATCGACCTCTCCTCAATTCTTCTGGTCCACAAGCCAAAACTCGAAGGTCCTTCTCTTTCAGAGTCCGAGCAGCAAAGCTTCCTCCTGGTGTAAGTTCTGTTCTGTGATTCTTCCTTCCGTTATTTTTTTTGTTTTTTTTATTTCCTTGGAAATTCTCAAAATTCTTATCATAATCGAATGACAAGAAGAAGATATCAAATGGGTGGAAATGTTTCAGGTAGAAGTGCCAAAGGTAGAGCCCAAATTCCAATCTCCTTTCCTGGGATTCACAAAGACTGCAGAGATATGGAATTCTAGAGCTTGTATGATCGGCCTTATTGGGACCTTCATAGTAGAGCTAGTGAGTGTTTTGTCTTTACTACTTAATTCTATAAAATTGGGTTTCCTTAGCATTGCAAATAGAGATGAGCTATAGTTGTTGCAATGTCTCTCTGATTTCTTGGGTGGCTTGTGCTTTTCAGATATTAAACAAGGGGATACTTCAAGTCATTGGAGTGGACGTGGGGAAAGGACTTGATCTTCCTCTATGAGTATATTTACATGTATTCTTTACATACTAGGGGTTTGTACTTGAAATATAACTCTGTTCTTCCATCATTCTGTAATTGGGCATTTGCTTCCTAAGCGGAGTACTCTAGAAATTAAGATGAGCGCCTTCTCAACCCAAATGCAAGGTCTCAATGCAACAGCCAAAACTGGAACTGCAGCATTTAATCCATATTTGACTTCATCTGAACCAACCTCAGTTGCTTCTTTATCCTTATTCAAGAACCCCGTATCCAAATCTAACGCAGTTTCGTCGAAGCACACCTCTTTCTCAAGAGGCCAATATGATATCAGAGACTTGCTTCGAGTCACTTCAGGACGCCGTAGGAGCAACCGAGCTGGAACTTTCACTTCTCCGAGCTGTGTTCTTCCACTAACCGAAGAAAATGTCGAGAAGGTTCTTGATGAAGTGCGGCCAAGCCTGATGGCTGATGGAGGAAATGTAGCTCTCCATGAAATCGATGGCCTTGTAGTTGTATTGAAGCTTCAAGGAGCATGCGGTTCATGCCCGAGTTCAACTATGACCTTGAAGATGGGAATTGAAACTCGGCTCAGGGATAAGATTCCTGAAATCCAGGAAGTGGAGCAGATCCTAGATACAGAGACTGGGCTTGAGCTAAACGAGGAAAATGTTGAAAAGGTTCTCGCTGAGATAAGACCTTATCTTGCAGGCACAGGAGGTGGGGTGTTGGAGCTTGTTCAAATCAATGACTATGTTGTCAAGGTCCGCCTTAGTGGGCCTGCAGCAGGGGTTATGACAGTACGAGTTGCTCTAACGCAAAAATTGAGAGAAAAAATACCTGCAATAGCAGCCGTCCAACTAATAGAATAGTTAGAGTAACAGAAATATCATTTGACTGTTAGCAGGGTAAATGACCCATCCCAGATTCTCTTTGCCATCTGGAATTGATAAAGTGATTTAATTTTCCAGTAACCCATTGACGAGTTTCTCTTCCAGCCGCCCAATTACCATTCATCTGAGATGAAATCATATATGAGAAGCTTCTCTTCAGACTTCAGCAGCATAGTGCTAAGCCATTAATTTAATTTTACAATATTGGGGTGCTTAACCCGTCCGATCGCTTGTACTTCCTCCACAAATTCTTTATACGTCTGTCCTCACCTTCACCCAATCTCCTCAGCGCCACCGAAACTCGAGATAGATGGTTATCGTGGGGAAGATACTGTGGAGGGATGTAGCTTTGAAGAGCTGAAGACGAATGGAACCACAGAAGCGGTTGCCGCGAAAGGTTGAGTCGGCGAAGAAAGATAAAGAGTTTCGAGCTCGGAGGAAACATGGGAAAGTTTGATTGACAGCAGATTTCGGGAGAGACTGTCTGGAGATAGAAAGAAGGTAGGATTAGGTTGAAACTTAAAAACTATAATGCAACATCAAGAAAAGTAGAAAACAGCAATTATCAAATGCTACTTCAAGATCAAACCCACACATCTAATAGTGATAGCAGGATCTTTGCTACTGCTATTATCAAAGTATACTGGTCTCTGCACGTATACCAAACATCTTAACCTACTCTCCCTCGTTTTATCTATGTTCTTCCAGTTTTTTTCATTCATTTTATCTCAACATTTATTATCAGCAAGGTTCAAAGTATTGACATAAGGCGTATCAGCCTCTATCGATGCTTTTTTTTTATGTTATATTTATTTATTTTTTAAATCAGGCGTATCTTTTAAACCATGATCTGACCCGATACAACCCTTATAAGGGCGTATCGGAAAGCTATCGGCACGATTTGTATTATAAGCCAATACGTGTCGATACTTTGGCCAACTGCAAAGAATAGATAGTAGGAAGTCAATTATGTTGCACTATCAAACACCTGTGTGTTTGTTTCACTTAACAATGACAGGAACATGATATTAAAATCTGCGAACTGCTCTGCTTGTCCAAGCACACTGAAAACTAAAATCGAAAAAGATATGCAGATAAATCTCCCATGTAGAAATTGAAGACTATCTGCAGATCTTCCATACCGAAGCAGAGATTGTAAATTATGATTATTCTCAATGGGGTGTTTGCAAATTGCATGCTACATCGAATGGAATCATTTTATGACACCACTACCTAGAAAAACTTGGAATCCTAAATAAAATGGATTGAAAGTGCAGCAAAAAACTAAAAAAAAAAAAAAAACGGAGAAGTACTGATAGGCCCAATGCAGAATTCCACGACGAAAAAGAAAATAATTTGTTTTGAGAGATTGAGACTCGACACAACCTTCAGTTCAAAATCTTTGCAACACATTTGAAACACAACTGATGGCAAATCGTTCTCTTTCATTCCAACAAAATGAAAATTGACATAAAGTTGCATCCTTAGTCCCAACTCCTTTTTCAACCATGCAAGAGCAGTTCAATCTCATCAATGTTGTCTTCAATGCTACTTTTCTTGCCTGTTTTAACTCCAATATCATCTTTCCTTCTTTCTGCTCCACATTTTGCATATGGTTCATCCTGCAGAGGTCCTTTGTTGTAATTTTCTAATTCACCAATTGAACCACTGATGTTCAACTCCTCCAGGAACTCCAGCAATTCTTCCCCCGTGTCCTGGAAAACAAAGACCGTAGTAAGCAGTGATCTTTTCTACTAGTTCATTTTTCTTGCTTTAAGGTCCTATACATTTCAATATTTCTAGTCAATACAATGAATAGATCAAATCCTTCCATCTTTTTAGTGTTTTTTTTTTCAATACTGAATTTCCACCACAAGGGTAAAATGCTAAATGACAACGACTCACCACCAGTTCTTCCCACGGGCTCTTTGGCTTCCCTTGTGAACCAACATTAGCCTCCGGTTCCAGAATTCTTATTGGAGGTCTCTAAGAAGTTCCTCTATAACACTATAGGCAATCAAGTTTAGAAACTACATATAGGTCATTTCTTTTTTCTTTCCTTCTTTTGGATAATAAGGTGAAGATTCCAGATAAGATTTTAAGATGAAGCAAGAAAATTTTACGGGTTAAACATAAGAAACTAAAGAAATATGACTCTTGTGAAGATAAGATACACAATAGAATGTGGTAAGAAATTCATCCCCTCACTTTCAGGTATATACAAGGCCAATGAAGGATTGTAAGACACAAGGTCCTGTGTATAAATACAGTCTAATGAAAGATCAGCAGCACATGTAACTCACAAGATCAGAGAAAGGCACTCAACATTTGAAGGATTCTACCTGAGAGCTCTCCAATTTTAATTTTACTTCTTTTGCAGGGGTTAGCTGCAGGGCAGAAGGCATCAGTACAAATCAAAATCCAATATTTCAGACTGAGTTTTTTATATGGATCTTTGACCATAGGTATTTTTATTGTTAAAAGGAATGTGAGAAATAAGATGGATAGAGCCACCTAAATCCAATTGGCTCCACAGATTTCCTAACAAATAAGGCTCACTTAGTGGCATTTAATCTATGTCCACATGCCCAATGCTAGCATTTTAATTTCTATTACTAAGGCCATTTGGTGGTGTCCAGATCTGCTACCCACACCTACACAGTAATTTAAAAGGCATGCTTAGGCACACCAAGTGAGGCACATTTTAGGGTAGGCGGTCCTACGCGCAGCACTTTCAAAAGGCGCATGCCTAGTCAGCCAAGGCGTGCGCCTTTTTAATGTTGTTCATTCATTCATTTTCATCATAATAAAATATCTTCTTAAAAGGCAATTAGAATTATAAAATCATTATTTTTTGTGTGAGAATAAAGAATTTAAGAATTTAACATGTACTTGTTTGGGCTTGCCTCAAAGGGCTTTGTACAAAGGCAACTCGTAGAATCAGGAACACAATATGTTTTACATCACATTACCTGCTTGAAGTAATGCAATCAAGGAAAAAAAGAGATTGTGGATTTTACATGATTGAAAATGTTTTATATGTTTGATTTTATTTTTAAATTTTCATTTGAATATGCTTTACATGTTATGTTTATGTATTTTAATTTTAGATAATAAGTTTTCTAAAAAATATTTTTTAAAATTTAAGTTTATATGTTTTATTAATATTATGTTTAATATTTTTTTTTCATTTTTTCGATTTTTTGGCTTTTTTTTATTTTCTGACTTTTTTTGCACCTTGCTTCAAAAAAGGCGCATGCCTCGCCTTGCATCTTGCGCCTTGGACGCAAATTACCCCTTGCACTTTTAAAACACTGCACCTACATATGGAACACTACAGCTGCACATTAGGAACATCTTCCCATGAATTATAACATACAAGTACAGGAGATGTTTCCAATGTACGAATGTAGTGTTGTTGTGTTGGTGCCTTGAATTCCCGCTGTTCTGTTTCTCGTTCATATATCTCTTAGTATCTTGTGCAAGCTATCTTGCTCATACTTTTTCTGTTCCATCCCCACTCTCCCCAAATTGTTTCAAGAGAACCAGTAATTAGATGGGAAGGAGGGGTTTCTCTAAACCTTGACGGAAGTGCTCCAGACAATCCTGATATAGCTGGCATTGGAGGCATTTATAAGGAACAGAAGGGGTAATATTTGCTGGGCTTACAGTGGTCCAATAAGAATTGCTGATTCTACTAAGGCTGAAGTGTTGGCTGCTCTCACAGGAATTAAAATAGTGAGAAACCTGGGTTCTCAGAGCTTAACCATTGCAGGTGGCTTAGAAAATACCATAAAATGGCCAAGGGACAAAGAGGGTGGCCCATGGAGATTGAGCCATTTTCAGCCAGAAGCTAGGGACTCTCTGGAGTATTTAAATGCAAACTTGACCTGGATTCCGAGGGAGCTAAATCCTATTGCAGATGGCCTAGCCAGGTGCTCTTTTGGATATTTTATATGGTGATAGGCTGCTTCCTATGTAAGCTTTTGGGGATTCCCCTATGTGTTGTATATCCTCTCAAGTACCTCTTTTTCTAATGAAATTCTATTACTTTTTTCTCAAAAAAAAAAAAAAAAAAGATTAGAGAGAGGGTGTGGTTCACAATATCGACGATATTTGGCAAAATATACCCAAAGAAGGAGTGGAAGAGGTTAAGTATCAAGGTGTTTTTTCTTTTTAGCTTTTAGGTTTGGGTGTTTTGTGGGTTTTCCCATTTTCTTTGTTAGGCCAATTTCGAATTCGGTCTCTCGTCTTTTGTATACTGCTCTTCTTTGTTTCTAATAAATTATACCCTACCTATTTCAATATATATATATATATATATATACCCAATAAATCCCCGTTTGCTAGGTGGCGATATGAAATCTTCTAGGCATCTTTTTTTCAAATACCCCCAATACTTTATATATTTAAAGTTTAAATTTTATATTAAAAAGTTCAACATTTCATTAAAATCATCATAATATTTTAAAAATATTTTCCTAAAAGAGCTAGCAGGGAATTAGCAATTGAATAATTGGCTTAATACTTTTATATGATTCACTCACTAAGTTGCTATAATTAAAAAGAAAAGGAAAAATGCCTATAACTACAAAAGAATATTTTCATTCTAACCAAAACATATAGTAACAAAAACACAAGAGTTAAAATGGCAAGCAATTAACATATATAAAGAACAGAAGATGGCTAAAGATCAAAAGGGAGTCAAAGAGAAATATACCTATTACAATCACTTAATTTATCCCATTTGATTTATATAATTCTTTGTTATGGATTTTTGAGCCTTAACTGTGCAATTATATTTCTTCTAATGATCTATTGAAGATTTATTAATTAATTTAATATTTCTAAAAAATTTTCCTGATTTTTTAAAACTTTTCAAATGTCTTAGTGAAATTAGAAAAATATCTCCAAAATTTCTCTAACTCTATATGGCAAAATGTTTATCAATATCGATATTACAAACCATGTTTGGGTGTATTGGGAGATAGGGTTTTGGTGAGGGAGGCTGTATACACTGTGCCTGTAATTAATATAGTGGATTTCTTCTGGGTGTAGGCTATACAATGACCACGTAAATC